AACCCAGCCACCACCACCACCACCACCAGCCACTCCAGCATCCTCTGGGTTCCTAGGACTGCTGGCACATGACCACACACACACACACACACACACACACACACCTACTTTAGATATTTATTTATTTATTTATTTATATTTATTTATTTTTATTGATGAGTACACTGTAGCTGTCTTCAGACACACCAGAAGAGGGCATCCAATCTCATTATGGATGGTTGTGAGCCACCATGTGGTTGCTGGGATTTGAACTCAGGACCTCTGGAAGAGCAGTCAGTGCTCTTAACCGCTGAGCCATCTCTCCAGCCCACACACCTACTTTAATGAAAAACTACTTTAAGACCCCAAGAAGATAGGGCTCTGGGCAAACCCTCAGCTGCAGAAGCATCAGCAGACACATACTCCGCTTTCACCCTGCTCGCCCTAGCCAGAAAACGCCACAGTCCTGCCGCTAGGTCGGATGACGATCAGTAGGCCTCTGCTCCTTGCTGCCCCCTAGTGGGCGTTCCGCAACAAGCCGTGTGGGGTGTGTCCCCCAGCGCCTTTCTCACGATCCTAAAACCATTATTCGTGTTTTATTGGATCTCCCTTAAGTCCTCCCAGGCTTTGCCCGGGCCTCTGAAAACTCCAAGTGAAACTCCTTACTCACTGGGAAGCCTCGGTGGTGGCTTTCTTCTCCCGGATAGCGCATGTCCGGGCAGCTCTCAGAGGGCGGGTACAACCCAGTGAAGAACAGAGACATACACACTCAGCCCACATAGTAATTAAGGCTTGAGAAATAAGGCCACAGGCCGCGTTAGCTGTTCTCTGGAACAATGCAGACCACCTAACATGTCATTGAAAAGTGAACATGTAAAAGGTTAAAAATAATCGGAGTTACGAGGGCCTAAATGTCGTAAATATGCGCTTGGGCGAAGCGTCCAGAGCCTTGATGAAAACAAAGCCACCCCAGCCAGCCTGCCTGAGACTTCGACCTCAGAACAGAAACGGCGCTTCTCCCTGTGACTTTCAGACCACTGAACAACCAGCCCTGGTGAATCAGGATATCTCCAGGCATCTCTTGCTGGGAGACAGAAAAGACCGAAGCCTGGTGCCAGACAGAATTCCGCACAGATCTGGCAACCTGTCAGATCACCTTGCAGGGGAGACTGGAGCTGAGACTGTGATGTGGCCGGCCCACACCTTGACCAGGACTGCCTAGCTACGCCCATCTCTTCCTTTCTGTTTAAACCCTCCCCTCATGGGAGGATCTGAAAGCCACTGGATCCGGTTGCTTCTCCTCCCAGTGTGGCCACATTGAACAAATCTTTAGTTTCTCCTCACTATTTGCCACTTTTAATGTTATTTCTATTGTTGCTATGGTGGTTATTTTCCATTACTAATTATTATTAATTAATTAGTATTATCTGTTATTGTTGTTGTTGTTGATTATCATTTGGTTTTGGTTTTTCCAGACAGAGTTTCTCTGTGTATCCCTGACCGTCCTGGAACACACTCCGTAGACCAGGCTGGCCTCTGCTTCCCAAGTGCTGGGATTAAAGGCATGCGCCCCACGCCTGGCTCAGTTATTACCAATTATCATACGGAGTGTGCAAGTTGTCCTGGCCTGCCCATGGAGGTCAGAGGTCAGAGGACAACTTTGTAGAACCGGTTCTGCCTGTATACTGTTCGGTCCACTGAGACCTGGGGATTGAACTCAGGTCACCAGTCCTGAGTGTAAACGCCTTTACTCAGTGAGCTGGTATTATTTGGCTTAATTGAGGACAGGTGGCCAGAGCAATTTGAATGCTGCCTGAGAGGCGGCATTTACTGCACACAGCTCTTTCTCTACCCTCATGCTCACGGAAGGCAGGTACAGACTCTCCTCACCACCTGGTACCAGAGAGGCAAGTAGGGTCCTCTTCAAAGCCCAGTCTCCTCAGATGTGCACATCTCAGCAAAACTGGGTTCCCAGGCACCCCAGCCCTGTGGCATCCATGAGTCACAGTCATCTCTCCCACCTGGAGTTATATGAGACGTAGGGACCTGTTCTCCAGCTGGCGTGATGTCCACTCAGGGAGTTAGACTCAACATTCGGTCATCTCAGAACAGACGCCCAAAGCTCTTGGTCAGTCATGGACTTATTTAGAGTCAGAAAAATATCTGCTTAGCCAGCCATGGTAGCAGGTGCTTGTAGTCACAGCCAAATGGGCAAGAGAGACAGGTGGGTTCCTGGAATCTTCCCAGTCTAGCCTACTTGGAAAAGTTCCAACAAGAGACCTTGCCTCTCAAACAAAAAGTAGAGGCACTGAGGAGTAACCCTTGGACTCCATGTATGTGTGCTTGCTCACACTCACACACAAGAGCCTCTCCGAAGCAGCTTCTATTCAACACTGACAGGCACCACGCTGCTCCATCACACCCAGGTCTCTGAGCCCATGGAAGGAGCTGCCAGGAGGAAGAAGCATCTTGTGAAAGAGGATTCAGGCATCCCTGCTTCACCAGCCCAGCTAGGAATATCAGCCTAGACCTTCCCAGTCTTCTAGAACATTCCACTAAGAAACTGGCCTGTTGCCTCAGGCTGAGAACTCCACCCCCCTGGACATGCCAGGGCCCCAGTTCTCCAGAGCACACGGCCCTGTGAGTCAGCAGTTTATCCTACACACACACACACACAAACATACTCCATGGCTGCTTGCCTAATAACTTAAAGCCAGGCCAATACACCTCACAACTAGAACCGAGACAGACAATCAAAACAAGCAGAAAGTAGAAGGAAAGGCTGAGACAAGGCATCTGGTCAGTCAGTTCCCATGGAGTTTAAACCTGTATGGAGGAGCAGGTGTGGTGGTGCACGCCCAGCACCTGAGAGAGACAGAGGCCGGCAGAGCTCAGTGAGTTACAGGCCAGGGCTATGTAGTCAAACTCTATCTCAAAAATAAAATTACGGTTTGATTCCCACAGCTCGCAACCACCTGTATCCAGTTCCTGGGGCTCTGAAGCCCTCTTATGACTTACCCAGACATAAGGCACTCAAGGTAGTGCAACCAAGACATGCATACACATAAAATGAAGAAACAGACCAAAGTAAATTTAAGCTGCATGTGCTGGTGCACACCTTTAATCCCAGCACTCGGGGAACAGAAGCAGGCAGATCATTCCACAAAATAAGATAAAGTACCAGTGCTGAAAGATTTTTTTTTCCTTTGAGACAGGGTCTCACTCCACAGGGAAAGATGGCTGAAAACTCATTGTGTAAACCAGTATCGAGAGTTCTTAAGTGTGGAGACACGAGGATGTCCCTTTAGATCCAAGGAGAAACCTAGAGTTTATTGGGTGAGTTTGGGCCGGGGCCAATGATTTCTCAGCCTCTACTTGCTCCACTGAGAACAAGAAACCAGACCGTATGTGTGTGTGCCCTGGTCGGACAAATATGTGAGCAAGCCTAGGATAGTGGTTCTCAACCTGTGGGTTGTGACCCCTTTGGGGAGGTCGAATGGTCATTTCACAGGGTCATCTAAGACCATCAGAAAACATAGATATTTACATTATTATTCGTAAGAGCAAAGTTGCAATGTGAAGTAGCAACAAAAATAATTTTATGGCTGGCAGTCACCACACCACAAAGAACTGTATTAAAGGGTCGCCCATTAGGAAGGCTGAGAACCTCTGCTCTAGGAACCTGGAGTGGTGTCTAAGCAAAAGCCAGGCTTTCTAAGGTTGGATACAGTGTGAGACAGTTACATGGACTCCTTTAAGTCATCCTGTGACTGCACAGCTACTGTGTATCCAGTACCCAAAGGTATACACAGGAGATGTATGTCTGCCCTGCCTCCCAAAAGCTTATAGTCTAGGCAACTGGGCCCAGCACAGCACTTCTGGGAGCCCTCACCCCTTCATGTTTATTGTCTTTCTTCCTTCTACCCCACCACCTACTACCTAAATCAGTCCCAACTCACCACAGATGTGCATGGCCAAGCAGATAGTGACTGTCCCTTCCCTAGTGTCCTGGGCCCCAGCCTAGACTGGAGCAGAAGCAACCTTGCTGCGATACTCAGCAAATCCCCATGGACTTGGAGTGACCGTGGTCCACAAACCCTCCCATTTTCTGTGAAGCACTCACTCCTGAGATCTGAAGGCCCTTCCCTGAGTTTTTCTTGATGGGCTTCCATGTGGTAGAAAGAACTTCTGAGCAAGTTGTTTCTGGTAGCCTGGCTGCCTGGATTCAGGGAGTGGTTTACCAGAGAAAGCAGGCAAGGGCATTTACTCTTCCTCTGCTACTACCTGGTGGTCCTTCCTCTGCTTCTCCAGCATCCCTGCCATTCCAGGGCCTTCGCTCTGCCTTCTGGGCTGGGTTCAGCTCCTCCAAAGCTTCAGGCTTCCTTACAACCAAAGGGAAGCCACCCTCTTGTCCCTCCTTTCCCTCACATCCCAAGACCACCCGGCCTGCTGTAGGGAAAAATAACACTTAGAGAATTAAAACAAAGAGCCCGCACCACCTTTGTACAGATCACTGGGAAGGGAAGTCTAGGGGCAGAGGAATGACTGCCCTTGTTCCTTGCCTTGCTCAGTGCTCTGCTCAGTGGTCAAAGTCCCCCAAGTCATTGCTGTGTTCATGGAGAGGTTCACAAGCCCAGCTGAGCTGGAGGCATATCCAGGCGTGGCCGGAAACGCAGTGACCCATCCTAGCACATGACGGCACCAGGCCCAGGTGAGCTTCAAGACCAGACTTTGGTCTCCTGCCCACACACAATGGCAAGGCGTGTCCCTGCTGAGGCAGCTCTGGGTGGCCCAGTGCCAGAACCACTTCTTCCAGTCTGGGTCTCTTCCTCCTCACCCTGAACATATTTGCTCTTTTTCCTTCGGCCCCACTTCCGCCTCTGGCTGAGCCCATCCTTGAAGGTTTCATCACCCAGCCAGGTCACAGCATCCGATTCTTGTCAGGGAGGTCTGAGCTAGACTGTTCTCAAAGTGAGTAAGAAGATGCAGTCACCATGGAGAACTTCCTTCGTCATCTAGCCCACCCAGGTCCCAGACAGCCCGCAGCAGGAGCCTGTGGAACATCCAAGAGCCTACCACGGCCTCCAAAGGCCAGGACTACCCGGAGGAGGCACGGGCGGAGAGGAAGCTGGAGCTGGAGCGGGTGGTGGCGTCAGTGAGGGCGGGCCACCACTGACAGTCCTCTGCCTCAGGTGCTCTAGCAGGCGCGCACTCACGGCCGGCTCTAGGACGCTGCAGGCGGGCAGCACGCAGGCCAGGCGCGCCAGACAGGCTCGGTAACCCTCGAGGTAGCTATCCAAAGGCCCTGCGTACAGAGAGCAGCGTGAAACTCAGGACCTGAGAACTGTGCAAACGGGAGGGCGAGCAGGGAGAGCATGGTCACTCACCAGGCGCTGCAGTCGGGGATAGAGATGCAGGCTGCTCCTGTAGGAAGCGCACAGTCATTTCCAGGATGTCCGCCTTCTCCAACTTCGAAGAGCGGGAGGTCTGCGCCAGGTCAGACAAGAGAGACACCCCACAATAAACTGGGCAGCTGAGCACCTCGTTCTTGCACCCAAATGCTCTCCAGTCGCGCGGTGATCCCTACCACTCCATCGCGCAGATCACACGGAGGTCTTTGGATCCCCACGAAGCCCCGGGACCACGCAGGGCCACCTGCCTCGCTGGATGCCCCAAGACTCTCCATTTCTGTTTTCTGAGCTCCCAGACTCTCACCTCCGCGCCCAGCAGCGGCAATACTAGACCCTTCAGCTGGCTCAGGCTCTGGTTGATCCGCGCGCGCCGGCGCTTCTCCAGCAGCGGCTTCAGGCTCTGCAGGAAGGCGGGAGGGCGAGAGGGCGGGAGGGCGCAGAGACCACAGTTAGGAAGCTCGCCATCGCCCACCCCACCTGCCACGAGTTCCTATCTCCGGTTCCTACCTTGCGCAGCTCCGCCGCGTCCCCTACTCTTCTAGGAAGTCTCATCCTCCGCGGGAAAGCGAAGGGCGCCCAGTGTCTGTTACCTCAGGGTGGAGGATCCTTGCCCCCATGCAAGACAAAGCGAAAACTGAAGCCGGTAACCAAGTTCAAAACCTGACCCAAGCTCGCGCCAAAGAAGTGCGCGCACTCTCAGCCACTAGGCTTTAAGGGGACTGCGCCCCAGCTCTGCCCCGCCCCCATTGAGTTGGACCAGCGCCTCTCCCTCCTCCCGCCTTTGTCCATGCACAGGGTAGGGCTGGAGAGGATGAGTCGGTGGTGTCCCCCAGGGATGCCACTCTGGCCTCAGAGTCCCATCTGTGGTGGGGTCGCGCGATGTGCGGGCACTGACCCCCTGGACAGGAAGGGTGGGTCGAGCCAAGCCTCGCCTCCTCTCCAGCATCCTCTGGCTTCATTCACGCCCACCGGTCTTCGAGCTCCTCCTTAGGCCGCCAAAAGGTCCCCAGCGGCTGCAGAACTACCAGCCCGGGACCTCAGGGAGATACAACAAGGTTTTAAAGGAGAGATTTGTTCTACCAACTGCCTTAAGCTGGGCATGGAAATCCAGGCTCTGCAAGATCCAATATTTCTCCGACCTATCGGCCAGAACCAAGACTGGGGTCGCTGGACCCCTGGCTCTAAGTGCTCCGTAAAATTTAGAGCACCCCACTGACTTAAAAATTGCCTGCTTCCCCGGCTCTAGGTTGTGAAAACTAAACCCGAGCCCCGCTCTCCGAAAAGAGTCAACCAGAGTCCACGGAGTTCACTTCGTTTCAACTGGCTCTGAACTCGGGATTCCACCTGTGGGACAGACCAACATCATATGACAGGCGAGCGGAGGCGGTCCTGGGTGTGTGCCCCGGCTGCTCCTCTCGGCCCCAGCGGGCCCAGACACGCCTCCACAACGCGTGGCCGTTGCTGCTGCAAATTGGCAGGCGTCCCCCGCCCATCTGCTGCGGGCTCCCCTCCCTTGGTCGGCTGACCGGGCAACGGCTACCTCCTCCGACCCTGGTGCAATTTAGGGGGGAGTCTTGGGCCCGGAAGGCGAGACCCGGACAACCAGAGAGGAGGCGCTCTTTGGGGAGGAGACTGGGTGGGCTCTGTCCAGGGTACTGGGAGGACCCCTCCCACCTGCCATCGAGCCCCATTCCCTTCACTAGTCCCCAAATCCCTGGAAGGGTCCCACAGCAAGCATTCGAAAATGGTGGAGGCCAGTGCACCAGGAAAGGGGCCCAGGGCAGGCTGGACAGGAGCGCTCGGCCCTATTTCTATCTACGGCATACGAGGACCCACAACCACCGCCAAGGAGTTACTTTGTACAAGCTCCGAGCTCGCTGTTTTCGACCTTCGCTTCCTTATTTCCACCAACCCAACTGTCCTAACTATGAGGATTTGTCCCAGCAGGCCTTGGGGCTGCCTGATTCCTTGGTTCTCTCCCACAGTCAGGTCTAGCATGCCCGTGGGCTAGCCTCTCCCTATGTAGACCAGGCCAGTTTAGAATTCACAAAGAGCAGCCAGCCTCTGCCTTCCCGAGTGCTGGGATTAAAGGAATGGGCTGCCGTAGTCAGTCATTAATTATCTTTTAAGAGCTCAAAATGGAGTTTACAGGGCTCCGTGGTTAAGAGCGAGTAGTGTGCTCTTGCAGAGGACCTGCATTTCAGATCGCATTGCTCAAAACTACCTGTAACTCCAGTTCCGGGGAGTCTGGCGCCCTCTTCTGGACTTCTTAGGCATAGCAGTCATATGCACAAATCTACACAAGGACAAATACATATACACAGCGTCGAAAATAAATCTTCATTTTAAAAAAAGAACCGTGTAGCCGGGTAGTGATGGCACACGCCTTTAATCCCAGCTCTCGAGGGGCAGAGGCAGGTGGATCTTTGAATTTGAGACCAGCCTGGTATAGAGAGAGGGTGGGTTCCAGGACAGCCGGGCTACAGACAGAAACCCTGTCTGGGGGCGGCGGCAGTGGGGGAGGGGGAGATGTGTGAGCCCCTTGCCCAATCAGCTCACTCAGTTCAGTGCTCCCAAGCCCACCCCACACGATCAAAGACTGCTCCTAGCCCCTAGGGTGAGGGTGGAGACATCCCTTTCCAGGGCTGCAGATGACCATTTGAAGACTTGAGGGCAGAAAGCTAACTCCCTGTTCTATGCCAGTTACCTCACTTTTAACTCTCTCTCCTCTACCCTGCCCACCTCCACTGTAAAGGATTTTTAACTAGGCGATGCACCCCTCTCTTCAACCAAAGGATTCTGGGAGTTTTCTAGGGCTGTGGAAGATGGAGTCCTTTAGAAGCAGAGAACCTGGGTGAGGTAGTAGAGTGTTCAGAAAGTGGGGCTCAGGCTCTCAGGGATCTAGGATGACCTGAATACCACGGGGACACACTCGACCCTGGTCCTTCCTGGGGTATTGAGAAATGTACTAGTCCTTGACCAGGGGAGATGCCTGAGAACTGATTTCCACCCAGCGTGGAGGTGAGGGCATCCAGAAGAGGGAGAGAAGCCCTCCGAGGAGAGGAGGGAGACCCTGCGCTCACTCCTGGAGTGGTGAGCCAGAGGGGAGCTGTGGGAGAGAAAATCCTTCCTGGGGTGCAGAGGGAGGAACACACTAGACGGTCATGTTTGTCCCCTTCCCACCTGTGTCACCTCAGGCTTTAAAAAAGACTATGTGGGGGCTGGAGAGATGGCTCAGTGGTTAAGAGCACTGACTGCACTTCCAGAGGTCCTGAGTTCAAATCCCAGCAACCACATGGTGGCTCACAACCATCTGTAATGAGATCTGATGCCCTCTTCTGGTGTGTCTGAAGACAGCTACAGTGTACTCATATACATAAAATAAATAAATCTTTAAAAAAAAAAAAGGCCATGAAATGGCTCAGTGGGTAAGGGTACCTCTGACCTTCACACGAATTGTGACACACACTCACACACACACAAACAAACAAAACAAACCACTCATGCCTGTGTTTCCACAGCTATAAAATGGGAGATGAACCCTTCTTAGAGTCCCTCTTGCCTGTAATGCTAGCATCATAAAGAAGGAATGAGATTCAGGAGTTCAAGGCCAGCCTGAGATGCTAGCAAGTTCAAGGCCAGCCACTGGGAGGTGGGGGGGACGAAATAAAAACCTCCTGTAAGGATTAACTATCTGAATGAAGAGCCTGGCACCCACAGTACCCGGGTAGTGGTAAGGGTTCTGTACTGTGTCTCCATGACAGGGCTCTGCTGGACAGGGCTCTGGGGAGTAGAAGGGCAGACAGACAGGCACAGCTGAAAGCACCGGGCTCCCAGTCTGAATATTAGCTGTGTCCTCGGGGAATCTGAGAGGTCATTCAGCCAGGATGTGTAGTAACACCTGTCTCATGCCGTTGTCACTGGCTGAGTTGGTACTGACTCCGAGGCATCTGAGGACAGGAGCCCTGCATTAAAACAAACAAACAAACAAACACGTGAGGTGTCCAGGGTCAAGGCAGCAACTTTGTAGGGTGGAAGAACTTCAAGCTACAAGGGAGTAGAAGCCGGGTCTAGCATCTTAGTTTGGATCCCTGACACTTGCTGGCCTTCAGGGGCACCTGCCTGACTGGGTATGCTATTGTACTTAATTTAGAAAGTGCCGAGCAGCAGCGAAGCTATGGCATTATGAGGAATATAGAAACCTCTGGAAAGAAACTCTAGGTCTCAGTAACCGCAGGTCCTATGGAGGAATGAGGCCTTACCAGCTAGGCGGAAGTGGTTAGAAACTCAACTGAGCGTTGAACTCAACACGACGAAGTTTGAGCTCACCCGGGAGCTCAGGCGGCCATCGTGCATGGCGCCCCCGTGTGGTAAAAACGAGAATGGTCTCTGAGACTGCCCGGAGACCCACTCTAAGTGGATTCAGCGTTCTGCAAACAGCTTCCGTTTCCACCATTTCCAGCACCGCCCTGGCTGGTAGGAGTTAGGCAGTGATTGAAACATCGCCTGGGGAATGGGGCTGGGTTCTGACTGACCTCCACTGTGCGTGGGAGAAGAAGAGGAAGAGCGCAAGCGGTTTCAAGGTTGCTAGATATGCTTGCTGCTCTCCCACGGCTCGCACAGCCCCTCCTTTCCGGGAGCCTCGGCTCCGGTCCAGCAGGCCTTACCTCCTCCAGCTCCCATGACCTGTTTCCAGCTATGCCCCTTAAGGGAGTTTGACCCTAGTGCTTACCTGCCTGGACCGTCCAGCACTTCCCAGGGACTTTACTCACAATGGTGGTACTCTCTCTTTGGACCTTTGGACGAAAGCACTGGAGCATCTCGCCGATAGCCCCTAGCCCTCTCATCCTTCATTTCTGGTCTCTTTGTTTTGTTTTTTGTTTGTTTGTTTGTTTGTTTTGGTTTTGGTTTTTCGAGACAGGGTTTCTCTGTGTAGCCCTGGCTGTCCTGGAACTCACTCTGTAGACCAGGCTGGCCTCGAACTCAGAAATCCGCCTGCCTCTGCCTCCCAAGTGCTGGGATTAAAGGCGTGCGCCACCATCGCCCGGCTCATTTCTGGTCTCTTAAGTTTGGCAAGTCCAGGTCTTCAAGTCCACGTCAACTCTCCCACCCCTCACACCAGCCTGTATAATCAGAGTCTTCCGCATCCTGGTCCAAAGAGTTCAAAGCCCTCTTGTCCTGACGTCCTTTTACTTGGGAAATAGATGGTATGGGTTTTGAGGGTCTCCCCCTCCATCGTTTTATTTATTTACTTAGGGGCCATATGCTATGGTGTACATGTGGAAGTCAGAAGATAATTTTTGGGAGCTCTGGTTCTTTTTCCATCATGCGGGTCCCCGGGATCGAACTTAGATCGTCACGCTTGGCAGCAAGCACCTTTACCCAATCATTTTGCTGACTCCCTCCTTTCTTTCTCTTTCTGCCTTCTCCCGTCTCCCATCTTTTTCTTGGGTCTAGACTCTATACTCTAGAGGGACCTTGAAGTCCTGAGCATGGGGGGGCAGTTGACATTCTATACTTGGTGGGACTTTTTAAACTTCTGGACAGTGGCGATTAGTTCCCTGGCCTGGAACGTGCCTTCTTACCAACCTGACCAAGCACCAGGCACCTTCTTGATGCCTGTGACAAAACATTTTCTATCTCCCATTTGCCAGGTTCTAGTGACATTTGT